TGAAAACTGAATTAATGAGAAAAAGCTGGAAGGGTGACAGGATGTCATGATGACCTCCCTGGAATATACTGGAAGTAGTTGTCATCTATCTAGTACTTGGTGGGCCAGGGAGAGAAGGCAATGAACAGTCATTAACTGCTTATATTGAGGCCCAGCACCTGGGAGATAGCTCAGCGGCATAAGTGCCTGCCTGGCAAGCACAAGGTCCTGAGTTCAGTTCCTGGTGTCAAAAAAAATTATTGAGTCCCAGTAGAATTTGTGGCAGGAACAACTGATGTTACCTTTATGAGTATCACACACATACCATTTAGCTCACAGCCACACTAGATAGCAGGTTAGAATTATCTTAGTCACAGAGAGAGAAAAATCAAGTCTCAGAAAATTGAAACTAAGCAACCTACTCAGGATCACAGAAAGGGAATCTGAGCCCAGGCCCAGGTGAGTGGGTCCTGCTCCCTCTTCTGTCATTGGTTGGCTAGAATGTGTGTCGCTGAACGTGTTCTTTGTTTTTTATGGTCCCAGATATTGAACCCAGAGCCTTCACATTAGGCTATGTTCTCAACCCTTTTTATATTTTTTATTTTTAAGAAAAGGTATTGCCAAGTTGCGAAATTGCCCAGGCTGGGCTCAAACTTATGATCCTCCTGCACCAGCCTCGCAGAAGTGCTGGGATTAATGGTGTGCAGCTGTAGCCCTGGTGTGACTACAAGCAACTTCTAGGACAAAAATAAGAAGCACGAGTTTGTTACCTGGCCTCAATTTGGAAACGGCGCAGAGTAAATCGTAGTTGATGACAGGCATGGCATCCTCACTCTGCTTCCAGCCCACTGGGGGAGACGCGGGCGGGGAGATGAGGAACTGCTTGGCGGGCTGCGGCGGCAGGAGGTAGGATTTGTCTCTTGCCTCACCGGACATCTGCATCTGCGTGAAGTACAGCTTCAGGTTCCGGCCGTTGAAGTCCGTTTCGTGCAGCTCTATTCGCGCCCTGGCTGCAGCGTCAGGCTTGCTGAAGTTTATCCTGACTCTTCTAAAGCTTTTAAATAACTGAAATGTAACTTGGTCATCATAGAGGGAGCAAAGCGCTTCAAATCTCTCCTTCTGTTCCTGGACTTCAAACACTGCTTCATGGACGCTGCAGGCAAAGAGGGAGGTAGGCAGATCGCTCAAATCCATCATCTCTTCCAGATCGTCTTCATTTTCACCAAAAACCATCTCTTCTTCTTCTTGGTCACTGCTACAGAGATCTGACTGGCTGTCATTCCAAGATTTCATATTGTCCCTTAGCATGGTCCCCTAAAAGACAGTCTTGGCCATTTTGAAAATTCTAGGATGTCTACCAGGCACCTGTGTCGGCGGTGCCGGGCCGGGCCGGGGCGAGCGAGCGCGGCCTGGGGCGCACAGACACGGGCCGGCCGGCTAAAATTAATAATTTTTTAAACACCTTTTTCAAGCACTTATTCTTCTGAGCTATCTTCCCAGGCCCAAAATGCCTCATTTTTAACAATTGTTTCTAAAGCCATCTTATCCCTCCTTGACTCTTACTAATGACTATAAAGATCACTAAATGCAGATGAGAAATTTAATCTTCTTAAAATAAACTAAGAAAACAAAATGAACCGGATTAAACAAGTGAGGGCAGCAAAGGAAACAACACAAGGAGGAAAACTAGGAGCTTCTGTCTCCAGGATCTCAAGATATACGCCTTCTGACATTCATAAATATTAACTTTCTTGGGCCGGCCAAATAGCTCAGCGGACTAAAGCACCTGCAAGCAGGCGCACAGGCTGGGTGTTCGATCCCTGGCCTGCCCTGCCTGCCCGCCCTGGGGTGCACTGAGCCAGCAATTGAGATTGGGCGTGGTGGCACTCAGGAGGCTATAAACAGGCGGATCACTATGAGTCCGATCTAGTAGTGAAACACACCCTGTAGACCCTTCCCTAAAATACAAAAAAAAAAAAAAAAAAAAAGAAATCAATGTAGGCAAGAGATTCTCATTATCCACTTACTGTACTTTTGAATAGCACTGAACATTTAAATCTAAACTGGTGGTTGGAGCCAGCGAGATGCTCAACAGTCTAAAGCACCTGCTTAAGCGAGCACATGGACCACAATCCCCCAGCACCACAAGCCACAACAGCAGCCCCCAGGGCAGGCTGAGCCATGGGGGGTGGGGGTGGGGGGCAGAACTAGTGGTTGACAAAAGAGTAAAGGACCTACGGATGTAGTCTAAGGAGCACAGGCCAAAGAGTGTGGGTTCAACCCCAGTACCAGGGGAAAAAGGTAGAGAACAGGCAGACCATAAGCGTGAGTGTTTTGGGAAAGTTCCCTGAGTTTCTCTGATAACTCCAGACCCAATGCGGCACACTTTAGATACTTAATACACTTCACGTGCATGCACGCACATGTGTCTGGTACATGTACACACACACACACACACACACACACACACACACAACAGATCTGATCTGCACAACTGTATGCCAGTGTTGGCATAAAGTTTCCAATTGCCCCTAATTTTCATTTCCTCTCGTTTAAATGGCAATACAACATGATCACGCAGCATTTTTTATGACGCACACTTGGGTGGAAAGCCACAGAATTTCCACAGTCCAATCAGCATCTTAGAGACGAGGCTATCTGAATCTACTGATTCATCGAAGCAGAGAAATGGACTCGAAACCACGCCTGTCATCACACACCAGAGAGGAGAGCCAGAACTTTCATTGCTAAGGCCCTGATTCAACTTCAGCACTCTCCTGACAGCTGAACTGTGGCATATCCTCAGGCAACGCGTCACTGGGCTTCTGCCAAGGTCCGCTTAGGAAACGTCCACTCCCCACCTCGCTGGTATGAGAACCTCATTTTACTTTAGAACCCTAAAATTTGAAGGAAAGTGAAATATTTATTTTCATATTATACTTGGTAAGTATTTTCAGAATCTGCACATAATTCAGTAAATATTCATATAAATTCCCAATTAGTGCCATTTTTTTAATCTCAATTGTCTAAAGTTTAAATGAAGTGTTTCAAATTTCTTTTTGCAGTACCGGGGACCTTGCACTTGCCAGGCAAGTGTTTATTCTACTGAGCTATCTCCCCAGCCCCAAACAATTGGTTTTTTGGGGGGTATTTTGGCAGAACTGAGGCTTGAATTTAGACCCTTGCGCTTGCCAGGCAAGTGCTTATGCTACTGAGCCATCTCCCCAGCCTCAAATTTCTAAAGTTAAACTATTTTCTTTTTATTATCATTGCAGTAAGGACCTTAAAACTAGGAGTCAAGAGCCCTGGGTTTCCATCTCAGTCCTACAATACTATATTCTTAACTAGCTTATTGCCAAACCTCAACCTACTCCTCATGTCTTATCTACATTGCTTCCGGCTTGGATCTTAGAAGAAACTGAGCTTCTGAGAAATGACATCAATTTTTGAAAAAAGTAGCTGAACCGGAACTTGACCTAGCTCCCTGAGACATCAGCTAGAGTCCGTGCTTGGTCTCACAGGATACATGATCCCTGTGTGGATGGAGAATGAGTACTAGCTGAGCATCCAGAAGGCTTCTATTTCAGACTTCAGGGGTTTTCAGATTTTGGAATATTTTCATAGACTTCAACAGCTGAACAGTCCTATTCTGAATCTTAAAAGCCAAAATACTCCAAAATCTACCATGATTTACCCAAAAAATTTTCAATTTTGGACTATATTTGCAGACTAGTACAGAGATAAAAACAAAGTATAAAACTTCTTACTTAAAAAACACAACACTTTCCCTCATTCATATATTAAAAATGCTTAGTGAAAGATTTAAAACCTATCATTATATTGATACTACTCTTACTGTTACTAACGCTGAAGTAAAGCACTATACAAATAAAAATGCTGGGGCCAGGGAGATGGCTCAGTGGAATAAGTGCTTCTCTGGGAAGCGCAAGGGCCTGAGTTCAATCCCCAGTTCTGCCAAAAAAAAATAAAATAAAAATAAAAATGCTGATTTTGCTTTTAAAGATAGCACTGCAAATTAAATTGGAAAAAGGTATACCTGCTTGCCTAGTTAAAAAATACAATTATTCTGAAAGTCCCATTACATCTATGTAAATATTAAAAACTGTACACAAAAACGCATATGATAGAACAGAAATCAAGATTACTTGAGATCAGTTCTGTGCCTTTCAGTAGGTAAAAACTCAGGAATAATGAGGATAAAAGATGTTTAATACTCAACACCATACAGGATTTACATTGTACTATCGCTCCATTTTCCCCACTGCAGCTGGAGAAAAATAGCACGATTTCTGCTGACATAAACTGAAATGTTTCTCCATGTAAATTCTTCTGTCCTGACAGAAGAATGTTTAGTAAACATAAAATTAGTACAATGTGCAGACACTGCAAAACTTACTCCCTACGTGTGGTCCCCAGGAGAGGAAACGCAGACAGCGGATGCGGTACACAATCACCAGTAAATTCTGGTTTTGCTTAGGCTAGTAACTGACAGCCTGCGCAAAACCAGACCTGAAGCTTCCGGCTAGCTTCAACCCACGTCGTGCTCTAAAAACATGCGATTAGCGCAATCCGAAAAGCACCGCACACACTGCAGCCGCCCGCCCCACTGCGCGCCCGGTACTCCAGGCTGCACGCCTCGGCTCGGTGTGATCGGCAGCTCCGGAGGCGGTCCTTCCCCGGGGCCCCCGCGCCCGTCTGCGCCCGGGTGTCCGCGCAGGTAGCGCCGCAAGCTCCGGCGACTCCTTCGCGGTCACGTCGCCCTAGAACTGTTGCTCACGCCTTTCTCCCTCCACCGCGACGAGCAGCCCCCGGGCAGGAATCGCACACGCCCCCCCAGCCTGCGCGCACGCCCCACCGCACCCGCCTCCGCGGCGCTCGCCCCCGCAACCCCCAACCCTCGAGCGGGAGCAGCGCGGGGCGCAGACCCCGGCCGCCCGCGGGAGGAGGAGGACGCAGCCCGCCGCCGCCGCCGCCGCCGCCGGGGACCGCTCGCCGCTCACCTCGACCTCGCGGATGTTGTTGGAGGTGACGAAGATGCCGATGCCGATGGGGATGAAGATGAGGCCGACGACGAAGAACGTCGGCAGCACGGTGCCCGCCGTGAGGATGGGCTGCCAGGCGGGCAGCCGCTGCTGCTTGAAGGCCGTGTTGTCCGGCCTCCGCGTCTTCGCGGCGCCCCCCGGCGCGCACGGGGGCCCGCCGTCCACCTCGTCCTTGGCGTTGCAGTTCATCGCCATCGGACCCGGGCGCGGCTCTACCGGCTCGGACGTCCTGGCCAAGGAACCCGCCCCCCAACCCTGAGGAGACTCGGGCAGGGGCCGCCGCCACCGGCGAGGCGGAAGGGGCGGGACATGGGCGACCGGAAGCGGCGGTCGGCTGGCGGCTCCCGAGGGGCGGGAGACCGGAAGGAGCGAGAGGACTGCGGAACTAGTGGGGAGGACGCGGAGGAACCCAGGCGGGGGAGCGGAAAGGACGGCGCACCGCAAGGCCGCGCGTGCGCGAAGCGGAAGTCGAGGCGCTGTGCGGGCCCCCGGAGCGTCGCCGCTTCCGGCTTGTCGGGAATTCGGCTAGTGAGCGAGAGCCACCCGCTGGCCTGCGCTGCCCTTGTCGGCGACTTTGGTGGCTTAGGCCCTGAACAGGTTTTTCTGTCCTCCTACTCCATCTCTGCAGTGAATCAGAGCTTTTCAAAGGCCGCGCAAGTTAGCTTGAGCCCCGGGCAGATAGCGCAGAGGTGAGTTTGAGTTGGCCCGGGTGACGCCTTGTGGTCTGCGTCAAGGAGGCGTCCTGCCTCTCGTTGAGAGGTGGTCGCACGCTTTCCTGCTCTTCACGACGGTCTACCCTCGTGTAGCTCTGCCAGTCTCTTCTGCACGTTGGTGTAGGAACATCTTTAGTAACCTATGTGTTCGTGGGGGTCTTTGGTCATGGCAGGTTTTTTTAATACAACATCATATAAAATCAGTACTACATATCTTGAAACTCTAAGTGAAATATTCATAATATGCATTACAGAAGACTGAAGACATCAAAGTAGTATAGAAATGGAAAACACAGAGCCCAACTAAAATGTTGGTAACTTCCATTTATAATACTGGAGAATTTGTTTTCTGTTTCATTTCACTGTTCTATATTTTCTAAAATGTCCATAATAAGCATATATCTGTAAAATTTAAACTATTCAATCTACGTTGTTACAGACTTTGAAATCCGGAAGAGAACAAATTACTTTTAAAGACTTTGCCTACAGTTAGGCCTTTTAGAAGGCAGACTTACATAAGGAAAGCTAAAGCGTGCTGCACTTTTGTAAGTTACAATTAAATGGGTTTTTTTCCCCCAAAAGTATCACCAGTCACAAGTGTGTAAATCAGTCAGATAATTTGCAGCTTAACAAGAGTGGTTGAAGCCTTCTAATTGCACTACTGACATTCTTCAGTTTGCTCTTCTCAGGCCCATATCTCACAAATTCTTAGCACCACTAAAGGCTTAACTCATGTTTTATTTTGACTAGTTTGCCTACCACCTTTGGCTCAAGTGGAAAGCAATCTGTCACCATTAAGGGAGCAGGCATAGAGTCCTTTTATTTTACTAGGCTCTCTATTTGTTAGTAAAACTATACCGCAGTGTTGGGCACCATCCAAAACTGTCAGTTATTTTTCTCCCCATGCTGCCTGTGTCATCATATCTATTAACTTTAACAGTTCCTTAACTGATTTGCTAGTCCATCCTTCTATGTGATTACGGCAGTGAACCTGTATGGCCATGAGCTCTGCATTCACAGATGCAACCCACATAGGATCAAAAATATTTAGGAAAAATTAGTGTCTGTGCTGAACATGTACATTTTCCTCATCATTATTCTCTAAATAGTGCATTATATTAAACCAACCATATACATAGCATCTACATTGTACTATGTATTTTAAGTACTATAATCTAGAGGTGATTAAATATATCGGAGGATGTGTGTAGGTTATATGCACACAACTAGGCCATTTGTCATCTTCACTTTCTTGTCACTGGGACAAAACAGTCCCTGCAACTTAGAAAAGGGTGGGTTTATTTTGTCTCCCATTTTTAGTCCATAGTTAGCTGGCTTCGAGGGAAAGCCTTGACAGAAGGGGCTGGGTGGAGAAAAGCAGTTCACTTCGTGGCAACTGGGAAGCAGAGAGCAGACAGAAGAGCTGGGGTGGCAGATCCCCTTTCCAGGGCACACCCCGAGCGCTCTGCCTCTTCTGACCAGGGCCCACCTCTTAATATCACATTTAGCTGTTATACTGACAGTGTCATCCATCACCTTTCAGAAGCCTACCATGACTGCAGAGGCTTTGGGTAGGGGGAGCTCTAGATGCACACCATAACATTGCAGCACCCACCTCAAAAGGGCTCAAGCACATCTCTATGCAAATGCATTTAGGTCATCTTTTAAGTCACCAAACTCCCCATAGTTTCAGGACTGTTGAAAAGTCCAAGTCTAAAGTCTCATCTGAGACTCAAAAGCAACTCTTAGCTGTGACTCCATATAAAAAACCAAGGAGAAAATTAAATACTGCCCACATACAATGGCACACGTAAGACATTCCCACTCCGAAAAGGAGGGATGAAGGATAGAAACCAATGAGAACAAACAAGACCAAACCCCAGCAGGGCAAACATTAAATCCCAGAGCTCTGTATCCAGCCCCAGTTGTAGGCCAGATTTGAGCTCCAAATAGTTTGGTCCTTGTCTTACGGCATTGCCATTTGCAACCCTAATGGTTTCTTTCTTGGGCTGATGCTATGCACTGCCTTCAGCCTTCCCACATTCCATGTTCCCGGCTTCTCCAGGTCCTGTGCTCTCCACTAAGCTTTTGGCTTCACTCTCCCAGCTTCATGTACTGTCCTCTCAGGGCCACACTGCCTGGCTTCCCAGGCCTTCTGAAATCTGGACAGATGTCTCCTTGACCCAACAACTCTTACGTTCTGGATCCCTGTAAGATAAGTGCCATATGGGTGATCCCAAGGCTTGTCACCAGCTGGAACACTAGCCAGGCCCTCTTAAATCATGGTCACCTTCAGTCCCCAAGTTCTTGGATGGCTGGCCACCGTGGACAGAAGTTGGGGACAAATTTTCTAAGTGGATGGTGCCCTGAAACCCTTATGTCAAAGCAAAGCCTTTCAGTTTTCAATTTTGAACCTGCAAAGATGGGGTCTTCCTGATTCATGCGATACCCTCAAATTTTTTTTTCCTATTGTTCGGATCCAAAGTACTTAACTTCTTTTAAGTGCTAATCTTTTCAGCAGGTGAGCTCTCCCCTACTCGAACTTTACAGGTGCTTCCTTTCTGGAGAAAATTAAAACTTTTCAAAAGAACCTGCCTCAGGGAGCACCCATGCCACAGCATAAATGTGGGGCTTTGAAATTTCCTCCGCCAGGTTAATTTGTCTACTGTCCTTACTCTCAGTCTCCTTCAAAGTCACAGAAGCAAAACGTAGAGATTTCCTGCCCCAGTATAGAACACGTGGCCTGGAATCCAGCTGTCAGTGCAGTCTTTTTCCCAACAGATTCCCGCTGAGCCTAGTTTTTGCCATCAGAATTTTTATTAGCATTTTGATCTTCTAATTTCTGAACAGAATCTCTCTTAAAGTTCGGCTTACAGCATTCCTAAGCCTGCTTCTTCAGCCCCTGTTTCCAAATCTTCCCAAACACAAGTTCCAAAGGCTTCTGATCCACACAAAAGTTTACTTGGGCTCTGTCCTTTAATCCATAGTTGACTAGCTTCAAGGAGGGAAGGCATAGAGGAAGGGCACAGCCAAGGAGAAGCAGCTCATAGCAACCAGGAGGCAAAGCATGAAGGAGCTCTGGGGAGGGAGCCACACCCCACACCCTGCTGGTCCCCCAGTGACCCCTGTCTTTTGATCAGACCCCATCTCCCAACGGCACACTTACCTTGGTGCCCCAAGATTCCAGCCCCCTTCCAAAGCCCCACTTACAAGCACTTGGAGTTGTGGGTTCATAATCAATATAGGAATCTAAGTAGCCAATTAAAATTTGAAGGTCTTATTAGCTGAGCTCAGCGACCATCAGCATAGAACCCTGTTTCAGAGTCTTAAGTGAGGGGTGCCGACCAGAGAGTGTATAGAGGAGAGAGAAAGAAAAAAAAAAAAAAAAACACGAAAAAAATATAAAGAGAATATGCAAGATATCCTGCTTGTCAAACAGAATAAAATGTATAGCCTGCTTGTCAAACAGATCAGCACGCATCCTGCCTGTCAGAATAAAATGTGTAGCTTGCTATCGTTTAGGGTCAACGCGTTCTCAGGGTATGTTTCCTCCATATGGTCACTTGTTTCACACATAGACCTGTTTTTACAACTCTGGGGGCAGCTAAAGTTTATCATGGCAATATTTACACTAGGAGTCTGGGTTTAGGCCATCACAAAGGGACAGCTACATGTAAACCTTAACAGCCTTTTAGATAAGGGACTGGAGTGTCTCAGATTTGGATACCAACTGGAATGTCCCTTCGATATGGGGACAGCAGTATTCTGACTAGTTTGTTGTTATTGACTTGAGTAATTATGATGTATTTACTTTCTTTTCCTTTAGTTTTGTTGCATGGTTTTGTTTTGTTCTTCATAGTAATGCCAGTAGATAGAAGGGAGAAAGGCAGATGGGCCAAGGGCCTGAATACATTGAATAACTAATTGCAGAAAATAAGTAATTAAGCTAAAGGCCAGTACCTTAAAGAGCCAAAGATAACTCTTGAGAAATTAGAATGCAAAGGGCAAAGAACAAGTCCTCCAGGAAACTAGAAGCTTCACAGGGCTGGAATGCAAAACAGAAGGACCCAAAACAACCTCCTTTCCTGGCATCAAAAACCTGACATCAGCAAGCAGTGACAGTTGTGTCCCTGCAGGGGTCTCACATGTTCGCCTATACCAAAGCCAACGTCCGAGTTATCCCCCTGATACCAGTTATCCTCTTGATAGTGGTTGTGTTCTTTTTTGTTCCAATAAACCACACCCCTGAGTGTAGCCCACTATCTGCTGTTTTGTCACATTGTACGTGGCCTTAGAATAAAGACCCAAAGGAAGCTGATTACAGTATCAAAGAATACCTGCATGCCTCTTTTTTAGTTAAAGAATACATCTGACTGAAATGGAGACTCGTACAACAGAAACTGTAGATTCTTATCTAAATAGGTTTTCCTGTCGGGTCTCAGTGGATGAAATTTCTTTGCCAGATCACATGAAATTCTCCACTTCTTTTCTATAATATGCTTCTATACCCAACTAGCACGCCGATTTCACTTCCACATCATTATCTCAGAGATTCAGAATTCTATGAGTTCTTTGGTCACATAATGTTC